AAAATGATAACAAAAAGATTTCATATGAGTATGCCGTAAAATTATATACAACAATGTGTATTAATATAGCATTCTAAAATGAACACAACTAGCTAGTGAAAGCATTTCTCAAACATTTTCAATGTCCATGTAGAGTATGCTCTGAAAGAAAAATGTTTCTTTCGATGTAGCATTCTTTCGAAATAGTTTCAACTTCGTATGCTCAATTAAAATGACTTCAATTGTTATATTCAACATGGTTAATAATGAAAGTATCAAGCAGACATTGACGTGGACAGAGCACATCCAAACAAGCTTGCAGGAGGCGGTGCTGTCCAGATATATAGCACCACCTGCCTGATCCAGTGATGGGGGATTTCTGTGAGGCAAGGGATGGACGGGTAGTAGGAGAGCTCCTCCCAGTATCTTTGGCGGGGGCTGCTCAAACCGCATCTTCCTTTTTCAGTGGCTGGAAAAACTGGGACACTTTATTCTATTTTTTGTCGTTTTTCTCAAAACAATTTAGTTTCTTTTATTTCTCATTCTAGTAGCAGGTGCAGCGGTGCTGTTGGTGGAGTCTACCATATTGTGGGGTTAGCGATTTGTGTCGCTACTAAGCGATCATTCAACTATGTGTCTCATCCCAGCGTAGCCTTTCGTTTGATGGCTTTGTAACTGGTTACCTTCTTTGATATTAATTGACTTATCTTTTTGCCCAAAAAAAGATGAGACAATCTTAGCGGGATGAAGAGAGTACTTTGTTATAAATATATAAAATATTTTGAGAAGCATGCATTAACCAACTTTACTTTGATCATTTTATGATGTCGCATCAATGCACATTTCTTTTTAGCACAATACTCATAATTAATTTCTTTTTATGCACATTTGTTTTAAACATTATACGCACTCATCCATGACATAAAACTCATTTATATCATTGACACATATGATATATTCAAGGCAAACCAACTTGATTTACTCAATTATTGATTATTTTTACGAAATATAAAAATTTTAGTAAGAAAAGTAATTTTATTTTAATTCCCATATTCTGAACCAAATAGTTTTATTGTATTTATTTTATAAAATTTCACTAATACACATTTAATTTAAACAATGTACTCATAGTTACTTATAAGATTGGAGCTTTTAGTGAAAAGTGAGAAAAATGATGTTTTATTGGATTATCATTCAATATTTGTACTTTTTTGAAATAATTGCATGAAAATAAACAAAAGATACTAGGAAACATGATGATGATGATAGTAATAGTAATAGTAATAGTAGTAATAGTAATAATAGAAATAATAGTAATAGTAATAGTAATAGTAATAGTAATACTAATAACAACAACAACAACAACGATGATGATGATGATGATGATGATGATGATGATGATGATGATGATGATGATGATGATGATGATGATGATGATGATGATGATGATAATAATAATAATAATAATAATAATAATAATAATAATAATAACAATAATAATATGATGATGATGATGATAAGCACAGAAAAAGTAGGAGGTCAAAAGTAGAAGTGAACAAGAGAAAAGGTACACATACTAGGTACGTATACATGCATACTACGTATACAAAGCAGGCGTGATGCGTCGGAAGAATGGAGAAGAGAGTCAGAGAGATACGATACCCTAACTACTTCAATGTAACAAACAATTACTATCTTTGGCAAGCGCGAAATGAGCGCGAAATGAGGCGAGATTTGATGAAGGGAAGAAGACGGAATATGACGTGTTTGCTAAGATCAAGCATGTGGTCTACAAGATACTCTTCAGTATCTACCCACATGACCTGATCAAGTTTTGAAGTGGAGCTAAGGACTTTTTGGGAAGATACGGCTTAGCCTCTATATATACCGAATTTGTGTGCGTGCACCTTGTAGCACCACTATAGTTTTGATTTTTGACTTATTGGTCGCATAGTTTTGCGTATAGGTCGAGATTGACTTAGACCAGACGATTAGCCTCTTCTCACCCTTTCCTTTTCTCACGAAATAGGAGGGGGAGGGGGGCTTTTGATTTTTGGACACATTGTACTTGTTAAATTTTGCTTGGGTGTTAATATAATTTACATTTCATCCCAAAAAAACCAATCACTACCTCTGTCCCGGTAGATTTTGCCAAGTGCAAGTTAGGTGAGAAATAAGAATAGTAAAAACCGTGTGATTGAAATTTGTGCAGAAGAGAGACAAAGGTGCAGCACCACAAATTAGTTGTTTTTACATGAAAGTGACAAAGTTTTTTGGGACAAGTAAAAAAGGAAAGTTGGCAAAGTCCAATGGGACGGATGGATTACAAAAATACCGGATGTAGGATATAATTTGCGCATGGATATTACTAATTAAATGGGGTTGGATAGATATATATAGGACCTCTTCTAGTTTTTTTCCAAAAAAGAGATCCCAATGTTTCATTTAAAATTTTGAGAATGAAAAGATCTTGTATACCCCTGCTTTCTAAATTCTAATCAGTCGTAGCTAGGGCTGGGCACGGGCCGGGTTGGGGCGGGTAATGCAAAATAAAATGGAACCGCCGGTTCCATTGTACGGTTCGGTCCGGTTCGGGTATTACAATTTTCAAAATAGGAACCGGTAATTACCCGGCCCGTTTGAAACGGGTCGGTCCGGTCCGGGTTTTACGGTTTTTATTCTTATGTCTTGAAATTAGTAAAAACTAACGAAGTTCCAAAAATCAATAATCAATAATATAGGACATTAGCAAGTTTCAAAATAACAACATAGTGGTGCATATATAACACAATGCAAGCGAAAAAGTCCAATACTCCATATTTTCTTGTATATAAGTTTCAAACAATTAAAGAAATTCCAAAAATATGCAACATAGCCAAAATACATATTTTCTAACATTTGTATTTAAACATGTTGTGTAACATCACATATTAAAGTGATTACTTTTTTTTATATTAAATTTTCAGTATTAGCCAAAGTTGACACATACATGGTGGGTGGTAAACACAATTTATATATTTTAATAACAATATAATAAAAACAATATAACAAAATCATCTTTAACAAATAATTAAATTCCATAGAAAGGAATAATTCAATAACAATAAAAAGTAATAAGATATTAATGAAACATTTAATCAATAATTTGAAAACAAAAGGATGTTACTGCAACTCAATTTAAAATCCTACTTCTAGCACAGGAAACAAAACTACTTCAAAACCGATTATCACAAAACTATTAATAAATCAATATACAATATATATAACGGGCCGGGCCGGGTACCAGTTATTTTTTAATTTTGGAACCGGTCCGGTTCCTTAAAAAAAATTACCCGACCCTACCCGGACCGTTTTATGGAAACAAAAAATGGAACCGGCCCGTTTTGGACCCGAACCGCCATTACCCGGACCGGACCGCGGTTCCAAGACCCATTTGCCCACCCCTAGTCGTAGCCCTGGTTTCTAATCAATTGTATGACTTTTACGCAGTACCCCAGATTAGTTTATGCTCCTGTTATTCAATTGATTGACAATTATGATCAATTACCATTACACATTAAAGTTATCTCTATGATTAACTACAGCTACTCACCGCGAGTTACATTTACGTTCGTTCAGTTACAATTACTCACCCGATCAGTCACAGTCACTCGTCCAACCAGTTGCATTTTTGCGTTGTCAATTACAGTTTCTCATCCGATCAATTACAGTTACTCGTCTGTTCAATTACAGTTACCCAATCCACCAGTTACAATTACCCGATTCGCCAGTTACAGCTACCCCACCCGATCAGTTACTGCAACTTGACTTGACCAATTGCATTTACCCAACCCGTTAGTTATAGCTACCCAACCCAATCAACTATAGTTACCTAACCTGACCAGTAAGGCTTCCAAATCTGACCCGATAAGTTATCGTTATCCGACCCAAGTAGTTTCAATTACCCACTCCACTAGTGACCACCGCTAGCATGACCTGCGGCCACCACCAGCCAGCGCCGGCGAGCCAGCGCCGCCTTCCACAGCCCTCTGCCCCAATATCTCATTAACGTCCACCCGCCCCCTGCACCATCCATGCCCATCAGTAACCCTGGCAGCCCCAGCCACAGATCTGAGAAATAATTATGGCGCCGCCGCTGGATTAACTCTACGCGCGAAGAAGATGATCCGAAATCAGAGAAGAAGAAGAAGAAGAAGATATAGGGCGAGGAAGACGATTCAAAATCCGAAGTTGTAGATGTAGCTCGTTAGTCTCGCCTTCATAGTTGGAGCCTCGTCGTCGCAGGACAGTCATCCTTTCTCGCCATATCTAGTCGTCCCTCATCGTATCTCTCTCATTGGACGTTGTCGCCTGTTGCACCCTGTTACCCGTGTCACGATGTCGCGTGTCATGTGCCGTCAAGTGTGACGGGTTTTCTCCGGATCCATGGCAGCAGAAGGTTCTCCCCAGATCTGTGCGAAGTCCCAGATGCATGAACGCGAAGAAGAGACGGGGAGGGAAAAAGTGTAGGGGCCGGTATTTTTGAAACTTCATAATATTTCAGTCCTTTTTTTGTCCCAAACGAATATGGTCTCAGTTTTGTCTAATTAAAAGTCAGGAATATTAATTTTGTCATTCTTTCATTTAATTGACAGTGTTACATAAGGTAGGATTACTATGTTTTTATTCCCGAAATAGGACTAAGATGACATTATTTACTATCATCTTGTAGGCGTAACTGCCAAATAGTTGCAGACTTGCAGTATAGTGCATTTAACATGACAATATTTATTATAGTTAATGGCAGTATTTTTCAATCATGACAGTATTTTTCATACATGGCAATAACAACTCCTATTTCGGAAAGAACAACATAGTAGTCCTATTTTGGAATTCTAAGATAGAAATAATGGCAAAAGTATGAGTGTAGGACTAAAGGGTTTATGTTGGACAAAATAGGACCGAGTCTTCGGAAGGACAAAAAACTAATTAGAATGACTTGAAATGTCTAGAATGCCAACAAATAATTCTGCCAAGCAACGTACACTCCTTCCTCTCCTGCTTTCTTCTTCGGGCCACTCGCATCTTCGACCAAAAAGGAAGACAAGCATGACTACCCGGCTACCCCTATCTTCCTTCTAATTCACATTGCTATCTTCTCAACCATGGCACATGGAGACAGATTTTATTCTCCACGGACGACGATGTCTAGTCTATAAGCGACGGAAAATCCAGATCAGGGCGGAGGTGGTGCGACGGCTAGGGTTTCAAGGTGTGGCGGCGGTTAGGGTTATAGAAGCGAGGCAGGCGGCGACTAAAGTTACAGGGTGGGCGGTGACTAAAGTTACAGGGTGCGGCGGCGTGCAAGGGTCGGGCTATGCCGACTGGCGATGGTGGGATAGGGGAGAGGTTGGGCTAGAATTTAGTGCAGTGGGGGAAGGGGCTATGCTGGTGATGAGGCTGAGGAAGGGAGCTGGGCGGCCGCACCTCACTGGAACACCGGTGGTGGTCACTAGCCGGCGACAGGCGGTGTTGACTGGCCGGCGACCGGCGGTGGTCACTGGCCGACGTCCAGCGGTGGTTAGCGGCCTGACATGTAATTGTAACTGGTTAGAGGAATAACTGTAACTGGTCGAACGAGTAAATGTAACTGGCGGAGCGTCACTGTAATTAGTCTTACGATTAATGTTAACTAATTGAACGTGTAACACTAATTAGTCATAATTGTAAATCAACCGAACGTACAGTAAATGAGCAAAAATTGTCAAAAAGAAAAACGGTAAAGGAGCATAAATTTTCAAAAAACAAAAAAGAAAAGAGTAAAGGAGCATAAATTAAAAAAGTCATACTACATATAGCCATCTTTGACTTTTCCAATCAAAGATGATGAACTTTGATCTATTTTTTTAACTAATATATTTTGTGAAACTTCATAAATTTATATTTTGGCTAAAGGGTCAAATAGGTACATGAATTAACTTAAAGTGTTCAATTAGCCCCTTATATAGGAGGTTCAGCCCGGCCATCGCCAATTGGATAGGTTCCCGGTTGAATTTTTTGATTCAATTTTTTGAGCATCTTCTTCATTAAGTCTAGTTTACTCATACCAAATTTCAGCTAAAAATTCAACCGGGAAGGTAGTCAAATGATTTTTCGAAATGTATTACGCTGTTTAACTGCGAAGTTATGTTCACAAAAACATTTAACTGCCTTCCCGATTGAATTTTTAGCTGAAATTTGGTATGGGTAAACTAGACTTAATGAAGATGCTCAAAAAATTTCATCAAAAAATTCACCGAGAATCGCCCCAATTGGCGACGGCCGGGCAGAACCTCCTATATAAGGGGCTAATTGAACACTTTAAGTTAGTTCATGTACCTATTTGACCCTTTAGCCTTATATTTTTATGATAGTATTTTTAACAAAGAAAATTTTCAATATATATTGTATAAATATATAATCAGTCAAAGTTGAACAACTTTGACTTGAAAAATAGTGTTTGACTGAATAAAAGGGGACGGAGGGAGGTATATAGTGTTTGGCTAAAAATATATTATCGGCCCGGTCCTGGCATTTTATGGACCCGGGACAATATAGATAGAGTAGGCTTTTAAGAACATGCGTATGTTTATTTTTCTTATAAGAAACTATAATTGAAGTTAAGGAATTTTGTCATCCATATCTATCTATAATAATATAAAGTAACAAGGTCTGACACCTTGCTTTTCCCTCCAATTAGACATTTAATGCTTCATACCCATTAAAAAAATAAGAGTTACATGAATATTGGAGTAATTGGAATATTTTCCATTCAAAATCATCTATAATGATGATGATGATCTATAATAATATAAAGTAACAAGGTGTGGCACCTTCCTACTTTATATTATTATAGATACTATCGATTAATGTTTTTGCTTATTGGATGTTTACAAAAGATTGACCAGTAACATTTTTAGCGTTTCTCAATTGCATGAATCCTTTGTTATTACTCCCTCTGTCCCGCTAAGATTGTCCAATTTTTCCTTTTCAGGGAGTCCTACTAAGATTGTTTCATACCAAATTTGGTAAAGTTTGTGCGACTTTAAATCATTCTTACTTTATCAATTAAATATCAATCACATAAACTCACTTTTCTAACCGTGTCGCCTCCTCATGTCCCAATGTTAGTGGGACGGAGGTAGTATATTTTATAAACACAAATACGTAACAAAATATTTATATATCTAATGAAAAGTATTTTTATTATTACGAAGTGATTCCAACTTTATCCAACTTTGTGCTCTGAAAAATTCATTTCAAATTTTTAACATATGTAAATCCGAGTTAGTTAAACTATTCATTAGATTTCCACTGTCATCTAATGACATGGACACATGGTTAAACATATAACATATGCATCCCGTGCAACGCACGGGTAAGAATCTAGTACGAATGTAACACAACAAAGAAATTAATAAATGAGACGGTTAGAAAGAAAGAAATTATCCCAAATGGGACTAAAACATGGTTAAAACTCCAAAACAGGACTTGAAGTTTAAAATTACTTAAATGGGACTCCGGATTACAAATTTGCCCTTCTACGATTAAAACCCCCATCCCCTGCAATTCATCGAAACCCTCCCCTGCAGTTCACCAATCCCCCTTCTCCAATTCACCGATCCCCCTTCTGCAATTCATCGATCCCTCCACCCCTTCTGCAATTCATCGATCGCTATTGCCACGCACCGCAGCTCCGTCATCGACCATAGGTATCCTCCTCCCCCTTTCTTCTTCTTCTTCTTCTTCTTCTTCTTCTTCTTCTTCTTCTTCTTCTTCTTCTTCTTCTTCTTCTTCTTCTTCTTCTTCTTCTTCTACTTCTTCTTCTTTCTCTTCCTCTTCCTCTTCTTCCTCCTCCTCCTCCTCCTCCTCTTCTTCTTCTTCTTCTTCTTCTATTCCACCTCAAATTTCTGGTCCTATGTTCTCTTCTTCTTTGAATTTTTTGGATTTGAATTTTATTTATTAATTTGGATTTTTTGGATTTAAGTTGTATTTATTCAGTAAAATGTCACTCATATAATTTGAGAATGTCAAAATTGTTGGTTATTTGAAGAAAAAAATGCCATGTTTGTGGCATTACATTTACTTCCTTGAAACTGCCATGAAAGTGATTGTACAAACCTCCCTGAGGAATGCCACTTGATATGCGAGAATGTCACTTAATATGCATAATGGCACAATAATGACAATTTTGTATAGAAATATGACATTCTCAATATGCCATTTTCAAATATTGTAATGACATAAAAGTGACATTTTTTTAAAAATACCCCATGATTATGCCATTCTCTCCTTCAAAAGTGACATTTTATGGAAACATTAGTCAATGCATTTGAGAATCAAAGTAATCAAAATTGATAACAAGAAATTCAAGTTTAGATATAATAACTTCATTTGAAACTTTCAAAAATCAAAAAATTAGAAAAGATCTGATTGACAAAATAGAAAAAGCAGAGAACTAGGAAGAAGAGGAGGAGGAGGAGGAGGAGGAGGAGGAGGAGAGATTACATGCATGCTGGTCGCCGATGAGTGCAGGGCTAGTAGCCGATGATGCAGGGCTTCGACACATGGTGCTGCGGTGCTCTGGAGCAATATCGATGGAGGTTGTTTGTCGGTGATGTGCATCGCTTTTTAACTAAGGGTAGTCTTGTCAGATTACCTCTTTTTAGTCCTATTTTTGTTAAATAAAACATAGTAGTCCTATTTTTGCAATTCTACCTTCTTTTAGTCCTATTTAGGTAAATCTCTCTTAGAAAGATTATACGGAGTATTTAAGTATTTGATAAGTTACGTACATTCGAGAATGCTATCCATATACATAAACTCATCAAATGAAAAAGTAGTATCATTGTTACCTGCAATTAAAAAAATGATTTAGGCAAAGACATAAATGTTATATGGTATATGGAGTTATATGGTATATGGAGATAGGTTTTTATATTTCAAATTACATTTTCACCAGACTAAAATCAACTACAAACTTCTAAATTAGAGAAAATTGCTATTGCTAAGACAAAAACATAGATTTTTTCCCAAAAAAGGACTTAATGTTTGGTTTTCCCTAAATAGGACTAATCTTACCTTTTTACCCCTAATTCTATTTAATTAATTAATTGGTCTAAATAATTGCCCCCCTAGTTTCGAGGGGTTTGTCCTCCAATATTATTAAATTAAAGCTAATTTCAAAAAAAGTGACCACATTTAAATTTGGGCAAAAATGTGACTAAGATGTTTATTCATGTCACTACACCACTTCTATGTCACTATCGGATGTCACTGTCGCCGCCCTCGCCCATGTCACTGCCGGCGCCATTGCCTAGGTCACCGCCGCCACAGGCACCACCGCCGGCGGCCACAGTGACACTATAGCAGTGACATCTCTGCCCTAAATTCTGGCCATAGTGACACGAACAAATTGGCATTCATCACTACCTCCACAGTGACGCCACCACAGTGACGCCAACAACGGTGACGCCACCATAGTGACATCTCTGCCGTGGATCACTGTGATACACAATTACTCCGGCAACCAACAATCACCACCGCCACTGCGCCTTCACACTTCCACTGTCCCTCACCATCCCAACGCCCCCAGTCCATGTCACTGCCCATGTAGCCTCGCCCCCTGATTTCTGATAGTTTTTACCTGCGATTGAGTGAACAAAGTCAACAAACAAACCCGCGAAAAAGAAAAATGAGCAAAACAAAAGAAAGGAAGACAATGTGAGAGAAGGGAATTCTGGACGGAGTTGGCCGGAGTTATCGCAAAGCACCATAGCAGAATCGCCGAAGGAGAAGGGAAGCTTCGCCGAAGAGGGAGGGTTATTGCTGGCAGACCAAACTGCTGCTACCGCCGTCGCTCGCCCGAGGAGCCATCGTGTGACGCCAACGCCATCAGAAAAGAAATTTTGCCGCCGCCGGAAGTCTTCACCCACTTTCCGCCGTCTGTTTCAACGAACAAGATGACTGAGATCCATACCTGCACTCAGATCTGTTCCAATCGACGAAGGGAGATCGACGGCCGAGTGCACTCCAGATCCATAGCCGCCTGCACTCCAGATCCGTTGACTGCTTCCTGATCGATGGTCAAGCTCTCCAGATTGAAGCTTCACAGAGAAGCGCGACTGAGGTAGAGATGCGCAGACTTGGATCACTTTTTTGGCTAAAAATATTTTGGTCATATTTGTGTCTAGCGAAAGTCTGGCAGTAAGGGTCTGTTTGCAACAGCTTCTGATTTAAAAAAAGTGCTTTTTTAATAAAATGGGGAGACGTGATTAAATAAAAGTTGATAGTGTTTGAGAAAAAAGTGATTTTGAAAAGTAAGAGTTGATAGTGTTTAGTAAAACAAGTGTTTTTTGTGTAATAGAAAAAGTAAAAACACTTTTGACACGAAAGCCGAGAAAAATAAAAGTTGTAGTGTTTGGTAAAAGAAGTGCTTTTTCAAAGCCAAAAGTCGAGAAGTGCTTTTTTTAAAGCGTTTGCAAACCAACTCTAATACGTGTGCCATTCTTTCTAGTTTCCTTGCACAACCAAGGCAGTCTGTGGTGGCGGCAGAACTCCGACAGCCGGTCGGCGGTGAACTCCGGCAATTAATTAACCCAATTAATTGTCCCCCTAGTTCTCTTGCACAACCAAGGCAGTCCGTTGGTAGCGGGGCAGTCTGGTGGTGGCGGAAGCAGATTCCGGCGGCTGCCAGAGGCAGAAACGCTGTGAAACGTCCAGAAAAAAATTTTGGAAAATTTTCTGGCGGTGGTCGCCGAAGCTCCGGCGGCGGCGGCAAGTGGTCGGCGGCAGGCAGTTGGCA